TAAGGATATCATGGACGGACAAGATAACCAACGAGACTGTACTACGAAGAATGGGAAAGAAAGAGAAGTGATGTATACGATTAAAAGGAGAAAGTTAGAATATCTAGGACACATAATGAGAAACGACACTAAATACAGATTACTGAAAATAATCCTTCAAGGCAAAGTATTCGCAAAGCGAGAAATTGGGAGAAGAAGAATATCATGGTTAAAAACCTGAGGAAATGGTTCTCCACAACAACAACTAATCTATTTAAAGCATCAGTCAATAAAATAATTATAGCCAGAATGATCGCCAATATTCGAAACGAATAGGCACCAAAAGAAGAAGAAGCAATGGCATAAAAATAGATAAAGAGACTCAATGTCACCTAAAATTTTTAATACGGTGGTGGAATGTGCTTTTAAGAATTTGGATTAGCTGACAAATGTACATCAGTATTGGTTGGCAAGAAGTAAAACTAGTAGATAAATATGATTGATGAAATTATAATTGGCAGAGAGTGAGACCCATGAACTGAAGAGAAGAGTCGGTCTTGGGTGAGCAGCATATGGAAAAGTGAGAGAAACTTTTAAAACTGAACTGTGAAACGTTTTTAAATCAGAGTTGCAAAAATTGATCCATAGGTCACAGTGAGGCAAAGTCTAAAAGAACAAACAGAAGTCGACGAACTATGACAGATCACTATACATTCATAATCAACAGATAACAATTTAATAATTACCTAAAAACATGTGGAAGTAAAGTTTCACGCGAAAAGAGTAGTCTTTGAAAAAATATATTTTCATTTAAAATGTTATTGAAGAAAAACAAAAATAATAACGAGACATTTTAATGTAAAAACATAAAAAAAAACAAATTAAAACTGGATTCTCTTGAAAAAATAAAACAAATTCCGCAGTAAAATAAAAAAAAAATTGTTTTCACACATGAGAAATTCTTGCATTATCAATAAATAAATGAGAACAATAACAATATAGTTCTGAAACTATGTGAATGATAGATGGTTATGAATGATAGTGGTCAGCGGAAGTCCATGTAAGAAGCATAGAAATTTCGTTACTGCTGGTGCTGAAAACTTCGGGTGAATCGAGGAAAAATACCAGTATAAAACGATGGCTACTAAGGAAAAATTAATTTTGATACTTTGATACCAAAAAGGTGACTATTTTATCATTTGAGTTTAAATCAAATTAGTCTGTTTGGTTTGCACTTTTTGTTGGAATAAGAAATGCTAGCTTTAAACTAAGTGATATCAGACAGTGATATCATAACAGAATGATTGTGATAAAGATGTTTGCAATTATATATGATAGATAATTATACAGAGGGTAAGAAGGTTTTTTTTTTCGATTTTGGTTGGTTTCAATATTTTTTTAATATTTAAATGGCAACTAAATTTGCGTTACACAACACTGCAGTCAAAATAAATCAGATTTGGCAATAATCCATTGCATGTCTCCAAAATTCTTCTTTTATGTTTGTGCTCACATGGAGTACCAGCATGGAGTACTTGTAGAAGCATAAATAAATCTTATATAAGACAGTACTGGCACCGAATAAGATAATACTGATTGATGGGAATGTAAGAATAAAAATCGTTCGACTATGTGTCGAAGAAATAAGAAGCTTCGATACGTGATTTATATACATAGACTAAACTGTTGACTATTTCACGAGTTCAGAATTCTCTTTAAAGGATAGCCAACAGTAGCTCTCTCCAGATTCACATAAATAAACTACAGAATCCTAATTTGATTGGATTGAGAAGCATTTTTTGTTAGTATAAGAAACATCAATTTCAAAGAAATGAAATTTCGACAAATGTTCTTTAGAAGAATAGAAAAATGTATACTCAGATTAGTATTATAAACAAAACTTATTTTAAGACCAAATATGATCCATAATACTGATTGATGGGCATATAAGAAAATAAAATTTACGATTCAGTTCAGAAATGAGAAGCTTTGATAGGTGATTGAAGTACAACATATAGAGGTTCCAAAATTCTTGATTATTTCAAGAGCTCAAAGAACACATTAAGCAATAATAGTGTGCCTAGAATCTTGTCTAGTCCCAGAAGTTAAAAAACAGTAAAAACTGGAAAAAATGGACAAATTTTGTTTTGCAATTACAGAATGCTTTGGTCCTTCTCTTTTTTCGCTTCCTGATCTCTAGTACTGGATTAAAACATTTTCTCGCAGTAAATTACACAACACCAGATCGACTTGCTAGTTCAGTATAGCCTCTAGAAACCTACAGAAAGTTATATAATAAATAAATAGTACCAGTGTATTAAAAAGAAACATTTTAATATAAAACAGCTTTAAAAACATCTTAACTTTAACCAGATCAGTCCAGAAACTTCGATCACAAAAATAAAAATGGCGAAATACAGATATCTTACGTTCCTTTATTTCCATGTGTATATACCGGACGTTCCAAAAAATTTATCAGCATTATGTGTATGTTTATAAAAATTGGTGCTTTAAGTTAGTTATTTTAAAAGTTCTTTCTTATTTTTAATAGGTTTCAAAATTAAGGCGTACTAGTAAATTTTGGCAACTGAAACAGTATCCGAAGACAATATTTAAAAGTTTTGGACATATCAGAATACTATCACAAAAAATGTATTATCGTCTGAGATAAAATATAAACAAAAAAGTTACATGGTATTTTATCTGGGAAATAAATCTATTGAATATTATAAACAGAATGAAGAAACCCCCGGCATATATCTAATGTGAAAAACAATGAAAATCTCAGTAACGACATAAAAACAACAAAATAGTAACTAAATTCAACAAAAACATTATATACGTATTCGTTTTTGCAGTGGTGACAAAAGCATATTGAAAATATGACCTTGAATATGTCCAAACGTTATCCCAATTTAAAATTAAGTTAATTATTTAGCTACATAGAATGTAGTGACTTGGATCTTTGTCTAATTGAAAAGACCACGTCATGTAAAAATGAGGGAAACGTTAGTTAATGGTGACAGAAAAAAAAAATAAATTTAATTGTAGATGTAATAAAGTAAATCTCGTAAACTACGTAAATTTATACATTTAAAAATCTTGTAGATCTGTTTAGAGGACCTGATTATTTTTTGGAACGCCGGCACATTCAATCATTTCTTCTAATAACGAGTTCTACCTATCAAAAAACTTGTCAACACGAGTTAATCATCATTTTAAATGAAATTTTATATAAATTAGTTTAATGTATATTCACAAATACCATAACTTACAATATGTACAAAAATATGATTACAGTTTGTGGTCATAATTGACTTTGTACACTGAAATATCACATACTGGGCGTTTTTTCAACGGCTTTCAGATGTTACATTCCCTTTTGTCCATATAAAAACATTTATTCAAATAAAATGGATACATTTTAATCATTTTTCGGAGGATAATATGTGATGCACCAAGCTCAAAAGAATGAAGTCTAATACAAAAACAATTCAATTTCAAATGTAGAGCAATATTTTATATAACTACTCTCTTAAAATTATCTAAAAATTTCAGATTTCGGTCACCTCACCCCCATTAACACATTGATAACATACAGGGTGTTCCAAATACGGTAAAATATAAAACAGTATAAAGGGAATTTAGTCAGTACAGCAATTTGACAGTTGAAGACGAAACATCTTAAAGAAATAATTTCAGAAATTTTCCTAAAACCTGGAAACAATGTATCGGTTGCGAAGAGCTACTAATTATTAATTATTCGTATTAATCTTCATTCCATTGAGTGTGTCAACTCACTTATTACCGTGAAATTTACAAAAATGCCCATCACAATATTAAAAATTTACTAAGCGAAAAAATGTCGTGTAAAATTCAACTAACAAACTAACAACATATTTAATAAATAAAATTCGACGAATATATAGATAAAACTGTCTCAACTTATATCAATTAGTACTTAAAAAACTGTAAAATGTTTTAGGCAATGTAAATATTAGAAAATATTATATCTGACAGTAAAGTATAGACTGACATCAACGCTTAGAGAAAAATTAAGGTTGTCAGTAAGTTTTAGGTTAGGTCTGATTAATTTAAATATACAGCTGAACAAAAAAAACCCAGTTACTTTCATATTTTAAGTTTAAAATTTAAGATTCGGCACCTGAACATTGGTTTAGTATTGTGGATTATTGTACGAATCAATGAGAACACATCATATTTTTCACGATTTTTTAGTAGTTGCCTACACTTTTATATCATAGTAGTGACAAGTTCTGACAGGCAATGAGTAACGAGACACGCCAAACTATGAAATTGCTCTGCTTCTGCTGAAGTAAACTGAACTGGTTTGGTTATTTTTGAAGAAGGATATTACTCTCAAACTTGTATTAGGGCTGTTACTTTGAATAAACAATTAGGATTAATGGTTTAACGAGATATAAGTGTGTAGCTTAAGTTCGTGACTGCTAGTAAGATTTTGAAGTATAAAAGGATACATGTACAATTGATGTGAATAAAGAAGCGACATGTGAAGGGAACATAAAGACAACAGCAATGCAAGTCAATTAAACCTTGGGAAAACAAGCCAATAATTCTAGAAAGACTTAGTAAGCTATGAAGTTATTGTTCATCACACGAATATAAAAAAATGGCAAAAATGTGGATGGAATACAATGAGATGTGAAAAACAGTTATTAATTTCTGGTATAATGGTCCAATTTATATATAGGAATATACAGAAGCAAACGTTGGTCTTGAGATTATCTCAAGATGTTTAGTGGTGAACACTTGTCGGAATGAAAAATTAACCAACACTAAGCATCAAGTTCTGGAAATAAGTTAACATGGTCTGTGAAGTTAACACGGTATATAAAAAGATAATGAATTTCTGCAATATTTTCTATAAACTTGTGATCGATATTTATTTAACAACTGAAGGTAATGACAAAGCTGTAAGTTCGAGTATTTTTGTCTAGCTGTACTTAGTAGTTCAAGTATATTCAATGCTCTAATTCAAGAAAGGTCATTTGTTATAAAAGTTGTTATACATTTCAAATTGTATAATTCTAGCGAATGATAAATAAATAATTTGTAAAAACATGATAGAAGTTGAGTAAATAAAAATAGCTACGTGTATATATAAAAGTGTTTCGATAGCTTTAGACAAAAGCGAATATAAACCTGAAAGCCGTAACGAAAACATCTCCTTGTACGTGTCTTTCGCTTAGCCTACACATTCACTAGTCAGCTTAACAATGTGTGTTTAAACATGTGAATAGCAGCTAGCATATTTCATCGATCTGTACAAATATCTTTTCAATTATCTATTAATCTCTCTACATCTTCCTTCACTGGTCACCATCTATATCCAACCAATATTACAATATTTTACACAATTTCGACATAAATAAATTTACACGATTATCATCTAACTTCGCAGTCTTTACTGACGGCTAAAACCGGAGGAGTGGGATCTAGAGAGGGCGGTGAGGAATTGGCGGCGGGTTCGGCGTCTACTCGGGGCTTCGCAGCCTCGGCTTCTTCGGGCGGAGGTTGGCCCGGCTGAACTACTCGCTCTTCTTCCTTTTCGGTGGTGTGGACGGGGGGTTTCATCACGTACCCTGAGCCTTCTTGACACCTAGACAGTTTTAATTTGATAGGAGTCAGTTTAACCGGCGGCAATTGTTCGTCTGCTTCCACGGGAAGTTTATTATCAACTATGTCTTTATTAATATCGAGTTCCGATTCACCACTCGTCCGTTTCTCATTGTCACTGTCACTCTTTTTGTTAAAACGAATGATTAACTTCGTCGGATTTTCGCCCGCGTTGGCGACTATTTGTACTTCGGACTTGAGCTTCTTCTTCTTTTTCTTCTCGCTCTTATCCTTCTTTTTGTGCTGGAATTTCAAATCTTTGATCATCATTTTGCGGAATTTCATACTCTCCCGCTTCAGATCTTCCACCTGAAATGCGTTTAAGAATAATATATAGAACGTTACAGTGATTAAAATATTAGATCCAACGAATAAAATATGGATCAAAACCGATGCGTTTTGATCCAATTCAAGTCTCTCACCATTCTTTTACACATTATTCAAGGTTTACCTTTCATCAGGAAGACTTGTGAGAAGACTGAAGTGAATCGAAACGCACCGGCTAGTTGGGAATTATAGTAAATAGAATAATAAAAATATAATTTTTAGATATACAGTATGATCCAAATCTATGGAATAAATTCATTATTTCAGAAAGAGACGACTTATAAAAAAATCTTAAACACGTCAATTTATCTACATATATGTGTGTTGGGTATTGCGTCATCAAAGTGTTGAAATCAGTGTTTGGCGAAAATTTGTTGTTGTGGACTTATACAATGTGTATTTTATACAGTGCTAGTCAAAAGTCCGTTCTCCACTCGTATCTTTTGAACAGTTATTGTTATAATAGTGAAATTTGGAGAGAGGTAATAAACAGACGTAGGTTTTTCAACTCGTCATAACAGGTGACTAGCTAATAGTGACAGATGACGTTACAGCGCCACTATGACAGATAATTTTAAATGGAACTATGTCAGATAATTTTAAATGGGACCTTATGGCAAGTGATACCTCGTTTGAAAGGTATTGAAAATACCTATTCAGTCATAATCATTTTGTTTGAGATTAAGCTCATTTGGATGAATAAATTAAATAAATACTAAAATTGTAGCTTCTCATTTAATTAATAAATATTTAACAACCAGTTCTTATAGTGAATGTTTAAAATGTGCTACATCTATGCCTGACAGTAATGCGTCCTATTTCTAAACTCTTACCGTTCTCGTTCAAATTTATCGGGGAAATCGCTCTACATTCTTCAACAATTCGTTTTTTCAAAATGTCAATGTTGTCGGGTGCTGTAGCGTAAACTTTAGATTTCAAGTATCCCCACAAAAAAAAATCTAATGGTATGAGGTCTGGTGACCGAGCTAGTCATTCTATCGTACCTCGTCCTCCAATCCATCTACTACGATATTCCTTATCTAGGTAACGTCTTCTTCTTCTTCGTCTAGCCATTCACGTCCACATCTGAACATAAGCCTCTTCAAGTCTTCCTTTCCATTGTTTTTTATTGTACGCTACTTGTAGCCAATTTTTCCCGGCAGTCCTTTTCAGATCATCTATCCATGTCATAGGAGGTCTGCCTCTGGGTCTTTTGTGTTGGTATGGTCTCCAGGTTAAAATTGATCTGTGCCATTTGTTTAGATCACTCCTAGCTACATGTCTTAGGTAACGTCTTACTGCACCATAATGATGTGCAGCAACACCATCTTGTTGAAACATTATTTCCAAGTTGCCGAATTCATCTGGATTATCCCTCAGAATTTCAAGTATTAACGGTTCAATTGCATTTTGTAAGATCTCCAGATACACTTAACCGCTTAAGTTAGTATTACGAAAAACAGGCCCAACTATGTGGTTTCCCAAAATACCTGCCCAAACATTAATTTTTTTTTGGAAATTGAGTATGTGTTTCACGAAAGACGTAAGGATTTGTGTGACTCCAATACCTCACATTGTGTGTGTTAACATTTTCATCGAGAGAAAAAGTACTTTCGTCACTAAAACAAATTGTTTTTATGTAATCGGGCTGTTGGTTAATTTTATTGGACATATTTTCACAGAATTCTAGTCTTCGGTTGGGGTCATCATCTTAAAGTTGGAGCACAATTTTTAATTTATATGGATGAAATTTATTTTCAGCCAACACTCAGTGTACTGTCTTTTGACTGATTAAACTTGGGTAGATAGATAGATGCAACTTGGGCTGTAGAAGAAGTAGGGTTCACTACCATATCTGAAATTATGTCAATTTTTTTGTCATCACTAATTGTTGGTCGACCAGATCGTTTGACATCTTGAATACCTGTTTGTTTAAACTTCCGAAGAAGCTTTCACCAATTATTACCACAGCTGCTACTTTGTCGACTACAGTATGTACCATTTTGCTTTGTAAAAATAACGTCTCGTTAAACAATAATTAAAATAAATATTAACTAAAAATACTAAATTATGAAATGGGAGGGAGTACACGCTATAAATAATGATAAAATTAGAAAAACTTGTGGTCTAGATGATACACCAACTTATTTGCTGAAACTAATAAAGAATGATAACATAAAAGTGGTAGGAAGACTTTTTAATTCAATATATAACACCGGAGTGATTCCCGCAGATTGGCTCAAATCCATCTTTGTTCGCAATACCTAAAAAACACAATGCGAGAAAATGCTCAGAATACCGATTAATTAGCCTAATGAGCCACACTCTTAAAATTTTCCACAATATACTTCACAACAGAATTAGACGCAAATCCGAAGTTTGGTTTTAGAAATGCTATGGGAACCATGGAGGCACTTTTTGGGCTTAACATCCTATTACAAAAATACCGTGATAAAAAAAAAGATGTATTTGCATGTTTCGTGGATTTCGAAAAGGCATTCGATAAAGTTCAACATGTAAAATTAATGCAAATACTGAAAAATATCGGAATAGATAAAAAGGATATTAGTGCCATTAAAAACATGTACTGGAATCAAACCGCTATCGTAAAAATTGGAGGTAACTACACCGATGAAATCTCTATACAACGAGGAGTCAGACATTGGGTTGCATTTTGTCGCCAACAATGTTCAATGTTTACTCGGACCAGTTATTTAAAAAGGCACTTGAGAGACAACCATATGGAATAAAGATTAACGGGGAACTACTTAATGTGATTAGATATGTAGAAAATACAGTAATTCTATCAGATAATATTCAAGGTCTTCTAAGGTCTACTTCTCTGAAGAAGTAAAAGTGTCTTAACTAAACTTGAATGGACTAAACTGAGCAGAAACAGAAACTAAATAGTGAGCTATAAACGCTTTTGCAAACTAAAGACAACTAAAGAATTAACAAACGTCAGCTTTTTTGACAAATAATCAAAGGCGGACGTTAGAATTTTTATTAATTAAAACAAAATTAGTATGATTGAATGGGGTATTAAAATAATTGTAGTTTCGCATTTAATTAATAAATATTCTAACGTTCACCTTGGGTTAATTGTCAAAAAAGTTGACGTTGACGTTAAAAACAATTAGAGAATTGAAAAACGTCAACTTTTTGACAAGTAACCAGAGGCGGAGGCTTTTAATATTTATTAATTAAATGCGTAACTACAATTTTAGTATTTATTTAATTTATTCGTCAAAATAAGCTTAAACTCAAATAAACGAGGTATCACTAGCTATAAGGTCCATTTAAAAATATCTGACACATTAGCGCTGTAACGTCATCTGTCACTATTACGTCACTTGTTATGACTAGTTAAGAAGCCTGACGTCTGTTTATTACCTCCAAATTTCACTATTAAAAGTATAACCGTTCAAAAGATACGAGGGGGGGGAACGGACTTTTGACTAGCACTGTATATACCCGGGTATATCAGTTAGAAATACTATTCTCTTGAATTTTTCTCGATCAAATTTGTATGTTGTACAGTACATCATAACGTGCGGACTGAACATTTCAAGACATTACTTACCGAAGGTTTGTTCAGCGTGGCAGCCAGTCGTTTCTTGGGCGGTCGTATCCTATCCCTCTTATCGTGCGGACTCTCCGGTCCACCCACAATACTGTTGGTATTATTGCCGATTTTAATTTTGAGCTTGGGAGCGGCCGGTTGTGGTTGTTGGAGCTGCTGAGACGACGGCCTTGTCGGCCGTCCTCTCCTTTTGTTAGCCAACGAAGAATCTAAACTGGAATTGTTGCTGCCCAAAGAACCGCTGTTCCGCCTCCGTTCGAGGTTCCCATCACTGTCCGTCAAATCCAGCTGACGAAGCTCCCGTGATAGAGGACGCGACTTCGATTCTTTCCGGTGTTGTTTCGAATCTATGAGGTCGTCGGAGTCGGTTCTGTAGTACCGGTAGTCCTCTTTCGTTGGTATGCTCGTCATGGAAGCCACTGCTTTCGGAATGGTTATTATGGTTCGGTTCACTGGAGGCGCTGCCGGTGCTGTGAAGCCTGTAATCACACGTTAGTTTTAAAAATGCACAAAAAAATATACAGAGTAAATTGCCCAGTTGCTAACTGTGACGCATTGATCAAAACGTCGGCTTAGGGCCGGTTCTACAATCCAGGTATAAATTGGAGAATAGTTATTCTGAGTATAACTTATACTTGAGTTTATTCCAAGTATAACCTTTCGAGCGTTCTACATTGTGAAATCGACAGCGGAATAGTTATTCTGGGTATAACCACAGAACACTAAGGTAAAACGAAATAGTAGATCTGATATCTTCAAAATTAGTTCAAATTGTTATTGACAGCGACATTTGGCATTTGTCATAACTGTAAAATTTGTTTACAATTGAAAGGAATTGAATAATTGATTCGCTTTATCTGGTATTTTATCTACGTTTATATTATTATACTTTACAAAATTAATATAAAATGGATAAAAAAAGATGTAAAAATTTTACATATACAGAAATTGAAATGCTTGTGAGTTTAGTTGAAGAACATAAAGAAATAATAGGTATGTAAAAAAATATGTATCTATGGGTTAAGTATTTATTTTAATTTTGTTTTTAGAATGTAAGAAAACTGACACAACAACAAGTGCCATGAAAGATGAGGAGTGGTTAAAATTATCCATAAAATTTAATTCCAATTGTGGTACAGGAAGGACAGCTAAAATGCTTCGAAGCAAGTGGGAGTCTTTGAAGAAAACCACAAAGAGACAATATGCCAGTTTGAAGTTCAAATTTTAAAACAAGAGTTGAGAAATAAAGTGTAAAATATTTACTTAGTACTTAGTTAATACAGGACATACTCCAACCTTGTATGGAGGACCCTATGGGGAATAACAAATGACCATTAAAAAGTTTCGCTCTCATTGTTTAATAACATACACTGCGAGTTGTCAATTTTGACTGACTTCTATTCATCATAGCTTTTGAATTGTAAATTTGATGTGTCTCATATTTTGGTCAAACATGTCACTAAACATCACATTTAAACTAGAAATAAAGTCAGGTCCGGTTTAAAAAAAAATAGTTTGTTCTGTTCATGAAAGAATCTCAACCTATGGTTTTTAAAAACTTTAACAAAAATTTTACAAATTAGACAAACTGGAATATCAAGTTTTTATAAAATAACAACTCCCCTTGCACTTTTTACTGGTTACTTGTTATTTCCCATAGGGGTTTCCGTACGAGGTAGGAGTATGTATAGTTCCTCATGACTCACATTATATTATATTAGGTTTGTTCCAGCAAACATTTTCAGACAAGACAAGATTACTGCAATAAATACACAAACTGCTGTGCTAAAGGAGATAGTAGATAAGTTGCCTGGAAGCGGTTCTAGCATTGAATCAATAAAATAGTGATATTATATTGTAACATTTTATTGTATCTCAAATATATTGCAACTGTTTCTGTACTTAAGTTATTTCCTAACCCATGGTTTCTCAATTTTTATTTCAGTGCTGTAGTGAAAATCAAAAACCTTTTATGAACTCCTTGGTTTTACCCTCTTTATATGACTTTATTTACACTCTTACTTTCAACACCCTGATTTTGACAGGCTTTTTGTAATACTATTTTGACAACCATGTACATCATTGTATATTTTACTACTTATTTATAAGCCAAAGTAGTAAAATTTTTGGAATATTGTATATAAAATCATTTCTCTTAGTAAGATTTCCTTCTTAAATTTTTTATTATCATCAACTGAGATTAGTGTTGTAATATAATAACCAAAATTATGTAAATATATCTATATAGGTACTCCACATTTTAAACAAGTATAAATATTGGATTACAAAATATATAATTTTAGTTAAAGAAATGTTTATATAATACAGATTCTAGAATTACAGTCTCTGTTATCAAAACATTAAAAAATATATTGCCTTGGTAAGATTATACCTATACTATATTAGTCATATGTGTAGACGTTATTACATTACATACATATCCTAAAATTTTAGAATTGAAATAATAAATGCTTTCTTTTTCCTTTGGATTGCCTAATAAAATTTCCTTTGGATTTACAATCTAAAATGTTTGTGCAATATCAAAAATTTTATTTTATATATAAAAACAAACAAAACCACAGTTCATTGAATGGCATAAAGTGAGGTTAAAATATTACAGATTTGACAACCCCTGACCGACCAATAGAAATGCAGTATAAATTTATACTCGGTATATCTGCTAAACTTTGGAGGGATAAAGTTATTCTACAGATATACTCCGATTATCTTATTCCTAGTTTATTCTTTGTTTGTAGAACACCATTAATGAAGTTATTCCAAGTATAACTTTATTCTCAGTATATACTAGCATTGTAGAACCGGCCCTTAGTGACACAAAAATGTATCTCAAAAATGACTACTTTTCAGGAGAGCTTGTTTGCGGTTTTTAAAAAGATGATTTGCATTTTTTTAATGACCTGTAGTTTATTCTCAACTTTTTGTTTCGAATTATTAATCATAATAATGTTTTCATTACGGTAATACAATCATGCGCAACAATGGATAAATTGTGTTTTCAAAATATCAACAATTAGATAAAATAGCGGAGATACATTTTTGTGTCCCTAGAATGGCCAGGTGGCCTTTTTTGTTTTTTATTAGAATTGAGCAAACGCTTTGAAGTCATAAATTTCTTACTGTCCAATCTCGTGTACAGTGTATTTTGATTTCTCTGACGTCATTCTTACAATGGTGTACCACCTAGTGGGGTCAAATATGTCCACATTTTTTTATGCTTTCTCAATATGACCATGGACCGAGTCACACTCCATCATCGAATGGCCAGGTTCAAAAAAGCAATGGTCAAATTTTGGAATATCTAATGTCTGAACAACGTAAAGCAACGTAATAGATACGTGGTCACTTATTAAAACAAACTCTTTACCATCGCAATTGTCTTATAAATATTTATAGAGACAAGAGGACACTTCATTCGAACCTCTGCCAACCACTCCTTCATGCCACATATAATTAGTAGCGTTTCTGGTCCTGACATCGTAAACAGTAAGATTATACACAGCCAGTCGTCTTTTGTAAAATATTGCTTTAGAATTTGTGGAAGGGTTACAGCCTCCAGATCAAATTTATTGAAATTTATTTTGTTTTCCAAAGCATCCGCCTTAGCTTTGTCGTGAAACTCCCTAGCAGCATTTTTCCTGTTGATATGTTGTTCGTAATTCTTATGCAATTCTTTCTTTTTATCTTCAATTGCATTTTGATATCTAAAACAGGTATCACACATGTCTTTTCTTGGTAATTGAAATTTTAAATGAAAGTCATTGTGAAAAATTTGTCTATATAGCCATGATTTCTCGGGCACTATTTTCTCACTGTTACATTTCTTCTTCTTGTAGTTCCTTCTGCTATCGGAGGTTGGCTATCATTACAGCTATCCGTACCTTATTAACGGCTGCTCTAAAAAGGTCTACTGAACTATACCACTCTCTTAGGTTTCATCATCATCATCATTTTGGCTTTACAACCCTGTGTGGGTCCTAGCCTCCCCAAGAATTCTCTTCCAGTCGTCCCTATCCATCGCCTTCCTCCGCCAAGCACGTATTTCCATATTTCTCATATCTTGGTCTATGTTATCTAGGAACTGTTCTGGTCCTCTTCTTCTTTGACCAATAGGTCTATCAAGGAGCGTTTTTCTAGCTGGGTCGGTTTGCTCCATCCGCATTACATGGCCTACCCACCTCAGACGTCCTATCTTAATGTGTTTTACGATATCTGGTTCCTGGTATATTCTATAGAGTTCGAAGTTGTATCGTCTTCTCCAGACACCATTTTCATTTACCGCTCCATAGATTCGCCTCAGTATTTTTCTTTCGAAACATCCTAACATGTTTTCATTGCTTTTTGTTAAAGTCCAGGTTTCTGAACCATATGTTAGGACTGGGCGTATTATTGTTTTGTAGAGTTTTACTTTTGTATTTCTTGATATAGCTGTAGATTTAAAAAGGAGATTAAGCCCAAAATAGCATCTATTAGCCGTGCAAATTCTGCGGTTTATCTCTGCGGTAGTGTCATTTTCAGTATTGACGAGCGTTCCCAGGTATACAAATTCGTTAACTGCTTCGATGACGTCGTTTTCTATAACAAGTGGCCGTCAGTATTTGTGGTTGCGGACCTATTTTCATGTATTTCGTTTTATTGCCAGTTTCTCAGTCAGGAAATTATTCGTCTTCGTTACATTTGTAAACATGCAAATCATACATTTTTTGTACGTTGAGGTCCTGTGGCAGATACTCATAGGTTGAAGATTTTTTACAATAATGTGAAGGGACTGTAGGAAAAGATAATATGGCTTCTGATAAATTCCTTAGCATATTTAGGTCTTGCGACTCCAGGAGGATGACGACCTCTTTTACTAGTTTGAACAACATGACAATCCCATCTAGTAGTAGTATTGTTTTACACTATACACTATAACTAGTATCTTTTTTACAAAGGTTTCTGATTTGTTGAACTTGGCAAGAAAAATCCCTAACAAACTTGGATTTTGTTACCCTCTTTCACAAAATAATACTCTCTGGTATTTGAACGTCGTCAATTCTCAGCTTTTGTTCTAACTGAACCTTTTGGTTTTACTTCAACTAAAGAAGAAATATACTGCTTTTGCTTTTCAATGGTTCCAATATCATTCCAAAATGAAGAGTGACAGCGCTGCCTATATTCTTCAATAAATTTACTATTACATTTTTTGGGGCATTTAGAACAATCCTTTGTATATGTGTTTCATCAGAATCGACACAAAAAAATATATTCTCACATTGTTCATATCCTGATGCATTAGGTTTACTCATACAAACATGCGAGGCACTATCTGAATATGTCACTTGTTATGATGAAAGCGCTAAATTATGACTATGCGTCTCATCATCTCGTACCGATTTGTTAAGAGCTAACAAAACTAACTTCTTCTTTCGTACTTATACGTACTTATAGTACGAAAACATAGTATCACAGAAATGTAACAGCACTTACATTTCTGTGACACTAAAAGATTGCTAAAAAATGTAGTTACGAAAACTCCTTATTGGGGTTTTAAGTCCTCGGAGAGATACAATTTTGTGTCACTCAATAAAACTCACTAAAGTAAGTTCAATGGTGTAGATATCTCAAAACGGGAAAAAATGTAGCTACATTTTTGTGTCACTAAGCCGACGAAAAGAAACCAACAAATCGATTCAAAAATTTACAAATTCATCCGCTACATCTTTGCACAAGTATGACATTATTTACGAATTATTTTTTATATTACGTCTCTTTCCTACTCACAGAAACAACATGGATGAACTTAGTCGTCTCGCCTATCCATACACAACAGCATACTTCGAACAAAGACGATCATCGGTGATTGATTCACCTACTGGCAGTTTTGTTATGACAACTTATAATATGAGTAATTTGCATCGTTTATTGTGCATATAATTTTGTTTAATGTGTTATTACGTTTATTACAGTTTTAATCATTTTCTATGAATAATACTCGTTACGAGGCTCAAAGCTATTTCATCTGGAATCTATGAATTTCCTCGACAGTAATAAAACCAAAGGTATTAATTAATTCTGAAAACCGTACTTAACACTAAATAAACGAAAAGATAAAGATTATGGACCCTGAGATAGATTTCTATTTAGTTTTTTAAATCATAACCATATATTTGCTAATATTATGTAATGAAAATACTTTTATTTGTTATTACTACGGTATAAATATTTATTTACTGTAGATGTTATTGGACAACCTGTAGATTTCTAAAAACTGGAAAATCACGTTCATAAATGTATATACATACTATTTTCAAAATGCAATAAAAGAAATAAAAGAGAAGTATAAAAGCGTCCATTGTAATATTGAAACACGGTTTGGTTTCAGACACAGCCTTGGAACCAGAGAAGCATTATTCAAAAAAATAGCGAATATTAATACTTCTAAGACAAAAATTAAGATTGCAAGCAAAACAGAGTCACAACCAGAGTTTTGAGAATTGTTACAACAATGAACATCAGAGCGTATGGAATAGAGTAAGGGAGAGCTCCCACCAAACTGGCATGGCAAGTGGCAAGTAGCAAGTAGCACGCGTCTAGCATGTTATTTAAAATGTAACCAATACAAACGAATGATTAGAACGAATGACGTCACTGTCATTTTGGTGTGCGCTGAATCATTCGTTTTCATTGGTTACATTTTAAGTAACATGCTAGACGCGTGCTACTTGCCATGCCAGTTTGGTCGGCGCTCTCCCTAAGGGAGAAAAATTAGAATAGAATTAGACAGAATCCACAATATCACCTATTTGGGAGCCAATGTTAACGATAACTGGGATAGAAGCAAAGAAATAAGAATACGCATTGAAAAATGCAGAGCCGCCTTCTATAAATTAAAGAAAATTCTCATTAATAGAGATATTACATTAAAATCAGGTTAATACGCTGCTACATATTCTCCGCATTGCTGTATGGCATGGAGAGCTTGACTCTTACAGCAACACTCATGAAAAACTTAACTTAAGAAACTAAACTAAGGTTGATAGAATAAGAAACGAAATAGTTTTACCACAGAATAATAAACAATCAGAAGGGCCACTCTTTAGATGCCGCCTTTGAAGTTTTTCAGCACGCGCGCCATGTTTAATTATATTATATTTATGTTATTATATTTAAAACTGTTAGTATAATTTTCCGCAAATCGCCAGGAAATTTTGACATTCCTGTCAAAATTTCTTGAAGAAAAAGTCAGGACTTCCTTACTGCAAGGAAATGTCATTTCCTTACTGTAAGGAAATGATATTTCCGTACAGTTGTTAGTGTTCTACATAATAAGCGTCAAGTTTGACAATTCAACCTCAATACGTTTCCATAGTAACCCAAGTAATTTTATTAGGAATTTCAAAGCACCATTTATTTGGGAATAAAATTATCGCGTTTTTTTTAAATCAATCAATATCTGTCGAATTTTAAACGATTTGCGGAAAAATAGTATGTTTACCTCGTAGGAAAAGCCACATTCCTGGACTCTGTGTTGCTAAGTCTCGGCTTGCGCCTCGACTTAGCAATCTTCACAGTCGTCCAGGAATGTTAAGCTTTTCCTACCCGGTAAACAGTGTACTATGTATAGTATGTCTATGATTGCCGTAAGTCAAATAAAAATGTTTTTTTTTTCATGCACACCACATAAACAACACTGGTTCCCTTTAAAATCCTCGTTAAAACATGGCGGAACGTCTGCGCGAAGGAGATGCGCGTACTTAATTTTCCGTGGAGAGTGGGCATTCTGTTTGTTTATTATTCTGTGGTTTTACATTGAATGAAAAAGAGCACAGAAATATAAAAACGATAAAAATTCGAAAGTTGCAATATTTCGGTCATGTACTGAGGCATCCACAGAGGTATAACCTACTACACCTCATAATGCATGGCAAGATCGGCGGAAAAGAGACCCAGGCCGACAAAAAATATCCCGGTTCCGAAATCTCAGAGAGGGGTATCAAGAAACATCCGCTAATCTGTTTCCAGTTGCAAAAAGGGTACAGGGTATTAAAGAAGAAAATTGTAATATTAGCCTTTTCTAATTCTTATAACCGACGTAATTTTGGCTCACATGTTTTGGCGTATTTCCTGATGACAATGTGCAAAGATCCAGCGGATCTACTGTAAACATTCGGTCAACTATTGTCACGAAAGTAAATTTATACGAAACAGCAAATGTTACGATACTGATATTTGACATTTTTGATATTTTTTTAATGAAACTTACTGGTATTGCTCAAAGGTTCGTCCATGTTCATATCCTGCGTCACGTATTGCCTCAACAGCTCCTTCTTCCTCATCCGCCTCAAGCTCGAAGGACCAGACGATGATCCGACAGAGGTAGATCCGCTATTTAACATTGAATTATTTGCAACAGAGTTGACCGCCACTGGCGTTGATGTATCATGTACTGGTGGAGGCAGAGGTGGAAGAGAAGCGACCGTGGACGTGTAATTCGAGATAGGCCCTTTGATTTTGACCTTCAGCTGATTCCGAGCATCGGATAAGGACACCTTCATATTGCTGGATGATTCGGACGACGACGGTGGTGGAGTTTCGACCGGTTTCTTCGCCAGAGCCGTGTGCAGCTCCTTCTCGAAGTCCTCGTCTATTTCTTGCACCTAAATTAAATAAAAATGTTAATAAAAAACACAACTAAACTACAAACAACAATGTACTACTATATCATTATTAGAATACAATTTTGACTTTAAAACTAAAAACTGAACAGTATATAGCATATCTCATTTTGTGTATCTCTTTTTCCACAAAAGTTGTCTGTTGATGTCAAATCTCTAAATAGACAAGTTTTTAAGTTAGCAAAATAATACGTTTGTTAATGTTTAATAACAGCCCATTTTATAAATACAAGCTATTATTGAGACGATCGATTTATATGGCACAAAATAGACAAAAAATAGTTTTGCCATACAAGAAGGATGAAGTTAGACACCGATATTCGTATAAATAAACATACCTGAGTCTCTGCAGTACCGCTGGCGAAAGCGCTGAGCAGATTCTGTTCATTGTACGTCTGATCGAAGCTGGAACTGTAAGTCCGCATGTCCACTGGTCCCGGAAGAGGCGGAGTAACGTCTGGGAACGCCTGCGGTGGTTCGTTGTCCGAACTGGTGAGAGATATGTCTGTTTTCGATCGGCTGTCTTCGATTGGAGTTGGCGGCCTCAGTTCGCGTAAATCAGTATTATAACTCCTACCTATAAACCGAACAATGCATTTATACAAATATCGACAAGTACATATTATGACTCTTGGATAAAAATATCATTTCAGATCTAGATTTTTACCTTTATGTGATGTTTGTGATGGACTAGAAAATTTCGGCGACCGAGGCGAATCTCTGGTGGACGAAAACGGCTCGAACTTCCTTTCGTGGATGTCCAAGGACTTTCTTCGCTCCCTCATTGACTTCAAATCAGCCATGTTGTCATTGGAAATATCTTCATCGAAGTCTAGATCATAAACAGTACCGACTAATTTGTTGTGAATAGTACCCGCACTCACAAAGTCGTAGTCGCTATGGTGGTTACCCCTAATAATAATAAAAAAAAATTAATATTTTACTACTTCGTCAAAAAGTTTTTATACGAACCTTCCTCTACCTCTTCCTCGTCCCCTTCCTCTCATCGTTCCCGATCCTCGATTCAATCCTGTCTTTCCTGAACCCCTCTTAGAATCGCCTCGCCCCCTACCGGGCCCGCTTTGTTTAAGTGCAGTCTCTTGTCTCGGGCTCTTTCCTGGACTCTTAGCGGGTGACTTGTTCATCATTTGCGAACTCACTCTAGCGGAAGTCCTGGTGGGTTTGCTGGGAGATTTCTTACCAGCCGAGCTATTCGACTTCAGCGAAGTACTAGGGGAAGGAAGGGTGCTGTTAGCCGTTGGCGTCGAATTACTGAGAGCGGGTGAAGGAATGATCTGTTGAAAAAAAAATACAATAAAGAAATATTTGCCTCATCATAAAAAAGTTGTAGATACTTACTTCTTCAGTAGACGTCGTTGGAGTCAAGGACGGAACAGCTACAGGATCAATGGATGGAGTTCCGAGTAACTGTTCGTCCAATTGTTGTTCCAGGGGCTTCATAGGATCCGCAGATTGTGGCATGTTGACCATGGCAGCGGTAAAGGCCATATTGTGCTGCGACGACGTAAAAGCAGCAGTACAGGGCGAAGAATAGTTGACCGAAGATTCTTCCAATGGTTTCGTCGTCGGCATGGAGAGAGGTTGAGCTGGAAAAGGAGCACCAAAAGCAGGAGGCGGATGATACATCGGAGCAGGTCCCGTAGGAGGAAACGGTAACTGAGTATTAAGATTCGGCGGAGGAAACAAACTAACGGGATAACAGGAACCGTCCGGAGCTGAATAACCGCCAAAATTATCCATAGGATTCGGTGGAAATGCCGGCGGAACTTGGTTTGGTAAGTAAGATGCTGCCATGTCCAAAGTTGCGTGGTTCACCAATCTTACGTCAGGAATGCGAGGTTCTTCTTCGTCTCGCCGGGAACTAGACGAAGTTGATGAGGAAGAGCTGGACGATGACCTTGAAACAGATCTAGATATGGACACATTGCCATTGATTAAAAAAATAAACAAAACAAAAAAATCTGAACGTGACAATTATTCTTTCACCGCTTTTATAACAAAAAAAGAACAGAATATAACACTAGTATATTTCTTTTGTTCGACCATATTAGTGCCCTTTGTCCGTTGCACTCGATCGATAATGGAAAAATAATAAACAGTGTAGTAGAAGTAGAGAAAAGAAGTTTATCGGTAGCTCAAAATAAGAATAATATTATGCTTAAACGCAATTGCACACAAAGATGAGTAACGTGTTAACTGAAGTTCGATTTGAGTTTCCTTTTCTTGGTGCAATATGATGCTCAGTGTATGAAATTTATTGTTATGAAACAAAAATCTCCTTCAGGGTTTTGTAATATAATTTAATTTAATTTTAAAAAGGCTATTTAAAAATATTAAGCTATTATATAAAATATTAGCTACTAAGTGAAATTAAATGAATTCGATTAATTGTAATTAAAGACTTCTACTTTGGTTTCTCAAAAATGTTTTTCGTAAAAATGTTAGTAAGAATGTTTTGCACCGGTTGTACTGTGTTTTACTCACTTCTATAAAACTGTTCTCGTTATTCGGCAAAAATAGAGACATAATTTGGACAAAGTTGGAATTTTATGAAAAATAGTTCAAAATTATCCAAATGACTAGTAAAAATGGCTAGCAAATAAGCGTCTCTTCTGAGTGGCCTATTAAATGGAGAGAATGTATAACAATAATGCGATAAACACAAACAACTCGAACATAAATAAAACAGAATAACACGAATTGACACCTGGTATATATGCAGTTTGAATATGATTAGAAAACTTGAAGAATAAGAAATGAATGGGCTAGAAATATGAATACTACAAATTAAGTGAATTTATCCAAATCGCTAGAGAGCACGAAACCCCTTAAATGGGGAGAGTGTGCACTAATCCCCCGACAAACAAAAGAAACTCAAACATAAATACAAAAAAATAACCCTGTTACATTCATAGTCTGCAATTATGTCCATTACTGGAAACTTACAAAATATGGAATGAATGGGCTACAAAAACAAATATGAATGAAAACAATAAAACACTGAAAACTTTGTTTTCAAACCTCCACAAAATTTATTTTAAATCTTATCACTACAGCTGTTTCGGCTGATTGCCTTTCTCAAGTGATCTATTTTTGGCTTGGGTTTACAAATTTATAGTCTCTAATGAAATAGGTTGAGGAGGGGAGAACTGTTTGTCTCAAGTTGGTAGATATATAGATTCTAACAAAGATAGCTTAATGCCTTTATTTTGACTGTGAAGAATTTTAAATTTGTCATTAAAAGAATGATTATGATCTAGAAGGTGAAGTGCGTACGTCGAATCTGTTTTTCTATTCTTGAAAGCCCTTTTATGTTCTGCTATTCGTTATCAAAGTTTCTACCAGTTTGACCGATGTAAGTTTTTGGGCAGTCGCCACATTGAAGTTTGTACACACCACTATTTTTAAGTGTTTTTTATTTTGGCTCTTGTTATTTTTAATATATTTGCCTAGGTTACACCAAATAACAACCTAGGAAAATATATTAAAAATAACAAGAGCCAAAATAAAAAAACATTAAATAGTGGTGTGTACAAACTTCAATGTGGCGACTGCCCAAAAACTTACATCGGTCAAACTGGTAGAAACTTTGATAAACGAATAGCAGAACATAAAAGGGCTTTCAAGAATAGAAAAACAGATTCGATATACGCACTTCACCTTCTAGATCATAATCATTCTTTTAATGACAAATTTAAAACTCTTCACATTCAAAATAAAGGCCTTAAGCTATCTTTGTTAGAATCTATGGAAATCAACAAATTAAAAAGCACAGATATAATTCTGAATGACCAACTTGAGGCAAACAGTTCTCCCCTCCTCAACCTATTTCATTAGAGACTATAAATTTGTAGACCCAAGCCAAAAATAGATCACTTGAGAAAGGCAATCAGCCGAAACAGCTGTAGTGATAAGATTTAAAATAAATTTTGTGGAAGTTTGAAAACAAAGTTTTCAGTGTTTTATTGTTACAAAAAATATATGCCTAATATCTGGATGAAAAGTAGGGCTATAGCTATACTAAAACTAGACAAAGAAGCAACAAACCCAAAAAAATATCGTCCCATCTCCTTGCTTTGTCACACGTACAAGATATTCAAAATATTATTGCTTAACCGAAGTACCATAGCTGAATTAAAAAGGATCCCATAAAAAAACAGCTTTTAGATCCAATAAAAACTGTACAACACAAATTGTTAATATGTATGTCTGTTCATTAAAGATGGATTCGAGGGAGGGCAGATCACTGGAGTAGCTTTGTTTGACTTGCTTGATTTATCAGATTATAAGGGACTCCACATTTACAGATATGATTCACACCCTACTACAAAACCGTAGGTTTTATGAAGAGTTTCAGTTCAGAAAAAGTCGCTGAATATCTCAAAATAATGGGCTTCTGCAACATTTATCCAGCTACCCACAATTACCCTTGACCTGTACATTGGAAGACCTCGTGCTGGCGAAGGAAAATGCCATTAAAATCGCCCAGTTTTGGTCAGATAGTTCAATATATTTAAATTACTTAAGGTTTTTGTTACATACATCATGTTTGTTTTATATATGTTACTTATATGTATATAAATTAATTTTTAATTGATGTAAATAACCTTTTGACGCCAAATAAAAATAAAATTAAGTAAACAGCATACAAATCATAAAGTGTTTGTCCAAACTCAACTATGTCCAAAGTATGTATATTTTTTAAGTAAACGAACTAAAAAGTAAGATAAAAAAGAAGAATTCTTACCTTCGATTCGGTATGACTTCGCAGTCGGCCCACTTGGCTTGCGGATGAATATTGGCGTACGGCATCGGACTGTTCATGCAATCCATGGACGAAGGGTCGATGAGAGGCGTCTGCGATATTCTCCTGTCGATTCTGTCTTGCAACAAAGGCGAATGGGTCTTGAGCACCTCCTCCTGAAGTCGAGCTTCTAATTGGGCAGGTAACGAGTTTAATTGTTTCTTGTGATTTTCTTGATTGTTTTCGGTGGCGTTGTTCGCGTATTGCTCCAAATAATGAGGTACTACCGGTTCCGGAACGATGGACGGTACACTGGAGTCGGCACTCATCGATGGCACCAATGAGTCTATGTAATTTCGCGGGTCTACCGCTTGCACGTTCGGGTAATTGTCGCTAGGAGGAACCCAACGCTCGTCGCCTTGAACGGGCGTCGTATGATCCGTGAGACTTTCATTTTGGTGAACAATATCTTTAGGCAGATCGGAAGGAACACTCAAATAGTTGTAGTCCTGCTGTTGGTCTTTGTTGATATCTGGGAACGGTTTAGAGGGAGCGACCTCCGTGACCTGAACTTTTAGTTCTAATTCTACATTCGATGTCTCTTTACCGTCTTTGTTCATGTGATCTGAAAGTTGTTGTTCTTGTTCTTGAGGGAATTCTACTTCGCTCGTTGTCGGCTCGTCAATATCACTAACGCCAGATTTCTTCGAGAGTCCCATTCGCAATTTCTCTACAAGATTAAGAGTCTCTCTGGCACTGTCTTCTTTTGTATCCTCTCGTATTATGGTATTGCTAGTATTAAAGTTCCAAGTGAGGGAACTCTTCATCAAGTCGTCATCTTTGGTGATTCCCATGTCGTCAAAGTTTACCAAGTCTAAGAAATCATTATCTTTAATATGCGGTTGTGGGGAGAATATAGACCGATTCTGCAAAACTTGATTGGTTATGCCTGCTGGTTTTAACGAATTTTTCTTCTCGGCTTCTAGATCGTTCAGCAATGTTTTCGTTACATCGGATGTGACACTGAAAGCTTCTTGAACGACTTCCGCTTGGCGATTAAAGAGATCTTTTGCTTTGTGCGTTTGTAAATGATCATCTACTATCTTATCTGCTAAAGTTATTTCATCGGTTGCCTTGGACTGTTTAGGTGTGGGAGGTTTCTTAATTTCTATTTTATTTTCTTTGGTTTCGCTGTTAGATAGTTTATTAGCGAATATATCGTCTATACTTCTACCCTTGCTAACAGGTTTCTTTGTTGATATTTTCCGTTCGTCTTTAATTTCCGATTTCTTTTCGAGTTGTTCTTTCAATTCTTTGTTGGGAGATTTAACTAATGATTCTATTTTCGGCGGTTTATCGACTGGTTTGGTAACTTTATCGGTAAGATCGGGCAACGATAAATCATTTTTAGGTTCTTCCAGTTTTGGTTTGTCAGAGGTGACAGTTTGTTCCAGCGGTTTCTTTTCTTCAACCGGTTTTGGTTTATCTGTGGCTTTATTCGGTTTATTACTTTGCTCAATATTATTTTTATCGGGTATAGTTAATTTTTCTGGTGCTATCAGAGGTTTTTCTGATGGTTTTGAAAGATTGTCGATCGCTTTATTTAAGTCCTTCTTGATCTTTTCAGGTTTCTCAACCTTATCTAATTTTTCCTCTTTTACTTCAGGAGTACCAAAAAGTCTTTCCATTTTACCCTTTGTCGCGGAAATTTCTTTTTCTTTGTCGACCTTTCTCGTCGTCATTTCTTTCTCTAACGAAGTGGTTTCAAGCGATTTGACGTCTTTCAATTTCTTGTCCGTTTTCCTGACCGGAGAGAGTAATTTGGTGTCTTTTTCGTCCACACTATCTCGTGGAGTTGGTCTGGCCTTTCTTCCTTTGGTAGATTTCGATTCCCCTTCCAAACCGACACGTTGGCCATCAGACAAATCTCTACTCCTGACATTAGCATCTCCGAGCCGTTCACCAGAGTTCGATATCCTGGGACGACCTCTAGGAGCTCTTCCTCGTCCTCTAGGTGGTCGTGACGGTTGTTGTTCTTCACGTTTAGAAGTCGCCGAAGGCTGTTTCTTATCGGGACTCCTCTTGGGTTTGGTAAGTTCATTTGCGGCTCGCGATGGAGAGTCTGTTCGGGTAGTAGGAGGTGAAGGGGATTTAGCTTTCTTTGTGGGTGATGAGGGAGGACTTGAATCGCTAGAGCTTGAGGAACCAGAGGTTGCCGCAGACCTGGCTCCCTTGTCAAGAAAGGGCAAGTCCTTGGCAACACTCCGCTTGCTACTCTCCGATCGCGGCTGCTGTTGATTGGACTTTTCATCTGCGTTCTCTTCGTCGCTGTCAGAACTCGAAGAACTGGATGAATCCGACGAACTACTAGTAGAGGAAGACGAATTGCTGCTCGAATTAGTGGAAGACTTTCTTTTGATTTCAGATACTTTCGCGGGTTTCGACACTTCAACCTCTTTTTTAACTTCTGGTTTCTTTGTTGTATCTACTTTCTTAACTTCAATTTCTTTCTTGACTTTATCAGTAAGTTCTTGAGTTGGTCCCGTTTCAGCTGCTTGTGGCACAACGGGCTTTCCGAGACCACTCTTAATATGTTCGGCAGCCTTTTTAGCAGCTTGTCGCTGTGGTACATATAGCAGTTCTTGAGGTTCGATCTTTTCAATGTCTTTATCAATGTCAAATACATCTACTGCTTGTTTATTTTCCTTGTCCTTCTTCTTTTCTTTAACCTCTTTACTTGGCGGTTGTTCCTTTTCTTTTTCTTTTTCTCTTTCTTTGGGTGTTTCCTCCTCTTTTACGATATCTTTGACTTCTTTGTCTTTGACTTCCTTGTCTTTGACTTCTTTTGATGGTTTTTCCTTCACTTCTGGTTCTTTTTCTTTAACATCTTTTTCTTTATTATCTTTCGCCTGTTTCGTTTTTAATTTTTGCTTTGGTTTTTCTTCCACTTTCGGTGGTGGTTCTTCGACGGTAGCGGGATGGTCTTTGGCTCTCGAAGTCGTATTTGTCTTCAGGTTTTCTGTAGCTTTCTTAGCCGCCTGTCTTTGAGGAACAATGAGATCAGAAGGTACGTAATCTTTTTTCTTCGAATCCTTCTCTTTTTTAGCCTCTTCTGGTTTAGCTTTCTTTTTAACTTCTGTCGTACTATTACTATTTTTATTTCCTTTAGAAGGTTTGTGGGAAAATTCTTTAACTGCTGCCTTTGTACGTAACTTACTTTGGGAATCACTAGTGGCATTGGACGATTTGTCGTCGTTTTTGCCGGAATCGTCGGAGCTATCCGTGTCCGAGTATATTGACGACATGGATTTCGCAGTCGATTTATGATTGTCTTCTTTATTTAGCGATTTTATCGGCATCATCAGTTCATCACTATCACTAGCCGAATCACCTAATTCTTTATCCATTTGACTTAACCTCGACCTAGAAAATTGGCTCCAATCCTTTTTGGAATCTTTAATGTCATCTTCACTACTAGTATCCAAACCATGTTTAACTGGTGCATTGTGTTTCTTTCGTCTCTTTCTCTCCACAACTTTACTGACATTATTAGACTTTCGTGGTATAGATCTTTTCTTTGTTGTGCTAGACACAGAAGGTTTTTCTTCTTCGCTATCAGTGTGCAATCTATTTTCTTTATTATCTTTTGGTTTTTCGTCACTACTGCTTGGTTCTGACATACTGCTGCCATATAAACTGGCACTTCTTCGTTTGGAAGAACCATTAAAGTACACTTTCTTGTAGGGATTATTTTTAACGTCTTTGAATAAACCATTAACCTCCACTTTGGATTCATCTCCTGAATGCGCCGGTGACTTGCCAGCTATTCTTGCTAGGATAGCTTCCAAGTCGTTGGTGTGATCTTCCGCTTCATTATGTGAATAAAGTCTGTCATAAATGGAAGGACCATGATTAGCTTCTATGACGGCTTCGATCACAGATGAAGGTAATGACGGAGAAGAATCTAACACTGCAGTTTGTTTGTGGAACGTCTGCTCCCTCATTCGGAAGAATGATCTCGACAATTTTTCTCTTCTACTAACCATGTAACATAAGTTTCTAACCCGCTCTAGATCTTGTCTCAATTGTACAAACATTTTCATTTTTTCAACGTCGGCTTGTTCTCTCTTGTGAGAAAGCATGTCAACGTCTTCTGATTTCGGTGGAAGAAGAGGTTTGTTAAAACCAGCTTTTCTCTTCAATTTCCAATAATTATAGATGTATATTAAGGCGTCATTGTCAAGGTTAAAATGAATATCTTTTACGGAAACGTGTTTAAAAAATTCTGCTTCTATTTCCTGCAGACGAATCGCACGCGCTTGATTCTTCTCTTCTGACGTCATATCTTTACGTTTTTTCCTCTTACAATCGTCATCTTCCGATCCGGAACATATACTTTTTTCTTTTTTACTAGATTTGCTATGTTTTTCGCAATAAGATCTAAGTTTGACGCCATCGTCCGCATTTTCGTCCTCTATAATAGCTCGCATTTCGAGGCCGTGTTTGAATGCGCACGTCACGTGGTATGCGGTTTTACAAGTCTTTACCGAACACTGTATACACGCGCCGACTCGTTCTCGACAAAGGACGCATATTAAAGCCCAACGGCTTTGCGGAATGCTGGATACTTTAGTAATGGGTTCCATTTTTTCAACACATCCTAAAAATTCGAAATTTGTAAACGTTGTATGAAATATTTATTATACAGAAGCTGACAACACAAAAAAGGATTTTAAAATAGTATATAGGTGGTTTCTAAAGTAATCTAAAATATTTTTACTGTCGATTCGTTATTTAATTTTAAGACAAACGATTTCTACCAACATGTGTAGTAAGTTTTTATATTATAGTTTATTAAAAATAGGTAAAGAAATAATAAACAAGACTTACTCACAATCAATTTAATTTAACTATCAGACGACCGGTTTCGCTTTCTACAATATGCAAAGCATCTTCAGGTCTCGATACAAAGTTGTTTTTCCAATAGCAGTGAATCATAAGTTAATAACATCAGTCATACTGTATGACTCATACACTTGTAAAATTAATAATTTGTTTATTATTTTTGTAAATAATAAAAATAAAAAAATAGTTTTTGTATAAAATAGTGGAGCAGTATTTTTTAAATAGTAGTATAACTAGGTCTGCCTCGTGGAATCTGGGGGAGGCGAGACTTCGCTTAGTAAACACAGAATGCACATCGGAACATATAACATCAGAACGATAAGGGCAGAAATTAATCTAGAAGAGTTGTAAGAAGAACTTAAGAGCATAAATTGGGACATAGTAGGCTTATGCGAGACAAGGCTTAAAAGCGAAGAAACGACTACTAAAATCAGGGCACACTTTGTACCAATACAATTCAGGAAATAACCAAGGTATGGGAGGAGTAGGCTTTTTGGTACAGAAGAGAATTGAAAACTTGGTAACTAAATTCTAAGCGATTTCTAATAGTTATTTATCTGGTAATAAAACTAAATACAGCATTCAAATAATCCACTGTTATGCACCAACTTCTTCTGAAGTCGTAGAATGATGAAGAGGTAGAACAACTTTATAAAGACATTACAAGTACTAGAAACTTAGAGAAAACATATTACATAATGATTACGGGAGATTTCAACGCTAAAATGGGAAAAAACGAAAACAACAACGACAACGAATATATTGGAAATTTTGGACTGGGAAGTAGAAATCACAAGGGAGATATGCTCGCAAATTTACTCAACTATTGTGCTTAAACACATTCTACGAGAAAAATATGCAGAGAAAATGGACGTGGCACAGCCTAGACGGCAAAGTAAAAATTGAAATTGACTTTATACTCTCTAACTTCAAAAACATTGCTGAAGATGTTACTGTATTAAATTCTGTCAACACTGACAGTGATCATCGATTAGTTAGGGTGCGAATAGAAGTAAGTACGAAATTCGATAGAAGAAAATTATTAACGCTGGATAAATTACCAAACATAGAAGCACTCGAAATGAATCAAGAGGAATATCAAAGTGAACTAAAAAAGAGACTAGGACCTCTATGACATGACATCAACTGCAAAAAAGATCTGTGGTAAAAATAAAAATCCGAGAAAAACGAAATTGAAACAAACAACACTGGATTTAATGGAAGAACGAAGAACATCGAAAGATCACCAGAGTATAAGGCTATCAACAATAAAGTTAAAAAGAGCATAAGGTCAGACTTGCGAGCCTATCAAACAAAACAAATATTGCAAACCATCGAAAACAATAGAAACATGAGAGTATTGAAATCAAATTTAACTAAAGAAAAATTAAAGATATCTAAAATCAAAAACCAACAAGGGAATATGGTGATGGAAAAAACTCAAATAATCAAGGAAACACAAATGTTCTATGAGAATCTGTATACATCTACTATACAGAACCCCGGAATAGATCATAGAACAATTCTAAAGGTCGCGTCAGCTCGGAAACTCTCCCTAAAATAACTTCGGAAATTAGACATGCCTTACAGCAAATGAAAAATAAAAAAGCTGCTCCTGGTGAGGATGGTATAACGTCTGAAATGTTAAAAATACGCGGCAACATCGTTGTAGAGGTTGTGGAAGTTGGTTGTGGAAATAATACTTTTACACAAGAAAGGAGACGCTGCTAATATTGAAAACTACAGACCTATAAGTTTGTTGTCACACTTATACAAATTGTTAACAAGAATAGTCACCAACCGCATAACACAAAAACTTGATTTATATCAACCGGTTGAACAGGCGGGATTTAGAAAAGGGTTTGGTATTAATGAACACTTACAAACCATCAGAACACTGGTAGAAAAATCCACAGAATATAGTTTACCTCTACATATGACATTTATTGACTTTCACAAGGCTTTCGATAGTATTGAAACTTGGTCCTTTTTGTCAGCCCTAAGGGATGCTCGAATAGCTCACGGTACACTACACTTATTAATAAAAAACATTAATGAACATGCCACATTCCACATCAAAATCAATGAAGATGAAAAAACTGAAAAAATGCATTTTGGTAAAGGTATTAGACAAGGTTATACTATTTCATTAAAGCTATTTACCTTAGCATTGGAAGATGTATTCAAACAGCTCGACTGGGAGCAAAAAGGTCTAAACATTGATGGTGTATGTTTAAGTCATTTGAGGTTTGCAGACGACATAACATTATTTGGTACATATATCAAGGAACTGGAGCAAATGCTCAAGGAATTAAATCAGCAGTCAAATACAATAGGTCTTAAAATAATCCTTCAGAAAACAAAAATAATGAGTAATTTACAAACTTTATTGTTATTGACAACGTCAGTATTGAAAATGTAGACCACTATATTTATATATCTTGGAGATACCATTAAAATTGGTAAAGAAAACCAAATAGCTGAAATAAAAAGACGCATACAATTGTCTTGTTAGCTTTCGGCAAGTTAAGCTTTATCTTGAAGAATAAAGATATACCAATGTGTCTAAAACGTAGAGTTTATGACAAATGTATCTTGAGTGTAACTACATATGGGCATATGGACCATGGCTTTTACAAAGAAAACCTTATAGCAGCTCAGTACAACCCAAAGAGCGATGGAGAGGGCCATGCTAGAGAATATTTTAACAGACAGGATTCGAAATATCGACATTCGGGAAAAAACAAAGATTACTGATGTCGCAGAACGTATAGTAAGGCTCAAGTGGCAATGTGTCGGACATGTTGCCCCAGTAAATCCCGAAAAATGGACACAGAGATTAACAAACTGAAGACCAAGTGATAACAGACGAGGAGTAAGCAGACAACAGAAGAGGTGGGCAGATGATATCAAACAAGTCGTGGGCAAGCAGTGGATGAGAATTGCCAAGAGTAGAAATCAATGAAAGCAAATGAAAGACGCCTATGTCCAACAGTGGAAGAATACAAGCTGAAGAAGAAGGCTACTAAATTTAGTTGTTGAATATTAGAAAAAAATGTTGGCATATAATGAATGATATGTTTTTTGCATAATTTTGTAAAAATGCTTGCATATACATGAGCACATTTTCTTAATTTACTTGAGCATATAGGCTCATCTCTACTTTATCGCACATGTTTATTAGACATGGCGAAAAACTCGGGTTCGTTCATTTTTTTGCATAAATACTTTCATGGGGTACCCCACAGCCACCTTTACTTCCAAGCCATGAAGTAGAAATTTGGCAACAACGCGTGGTAGTCCTACTGTGGTTGGTTTGTTTTGTTTAACATTTCATATAGAAAGGCTTGTAAAGTTTGTTGAATTTAGTGTTTTTTAAACTTTATTCGAATGTTTTATTTGTAAATTGTGTTTATTTCAATTAGAAAATATTAATATAAGTGAAATTTCATAAGTTTAGAACTTTTAGAAGATTCTTAACGACAATTTAAAAGGCAAGTATAAATATAACCTACAAAACAAACTGAAAATAATAATACTTTCGCTTCTTGTTACAAAATAATATGTAAACTAAAAACAACAATAATAATACTTTTGTTTTTTGTTACAGATGCCCTGGCATTGTTGTGTACCTGGTAGCAAAACCAATTATGCCAGTACTTTAAAAACGAAACAGGCAGAAAGTACGTTTTCGTTTCCCAAAGATCCCCAAAGAAGGTATACTGGGTTATGCTCTATTCATAGAGAAGGCTATACAATTACCAAATCTTCCGTAGTATGTGCCAAACATTTTCATGAAGATGATATTCAGCGGACTGAACAATGAGAAGATAAAGATGGAAATGTACACATTGAACAGTTAATATTTCCCAAATTAAAAGACAATGCAGTTCCTAATATATTTTCTGAAGTACCATCATATGTAACTGTTCGTCGTACTAAAGAAAGAAGGAATCCCGAAGACAGAAGAAAATTTTTGCATAAGAAGAGGGAACAAGAGATAACAGAATTCTTAGACAATGATTTAATAGATTCATTTGAATCATTTTTAAGAGACTTATACAATAATATCCCATTGAAAAACTGGACAAGTAAAATTACAAGTGATTGTATATTTCTATGTATTAAACATTAATCAGTTGGGACACGGGTGTGATAATATTTGTGTAATAAGTAGTGTAATAATTAGCAGTAATTTTAGTGTAATCGTCAATGTAGGTAAGAATAGATTAAGTAGTAATGATTTGAAATGGATTTTACAATATAGTAAATTAACAAGATGGTCACAATTAGAGAACTTACTCGATTAGATCTGCTTTTTAGATAAGTGATAACAAATTTGAGTATTACAACTCTTATAGTATTACAACTATTATAACAAATTTTATATCTTTTGTATTTTTAATAATCTTTTTAAATGTTGTGTTATTTATATGCTTAAGTACTTAATATTAAAATTTTTAGAGATTCTTGACTGCATTTGATTGTAAGATTAACTGTTTGACACTGTATTTTAAGTGCAATAAATTTTACTCTAATGATTATTTTAGTGATAATATAACCTTAATAATAATAAAACTTTATAATATATATTTATTAGGTATATATAAGGTTTTATTAATTTAATTTCCCTAAAAATATTTCTGTTATGAATTGAAGTTTTCAAAATATCAGTTTCCTAAAATTCAAATTAGTTTAATATTTTCGGATAGACCTTACAGCTGATTATCGGACTACCGACGTCATAGAATGCGATGTTGCCTTTTTTACTTCATGGCTTGGAAGTAAAGGTGGCTGTGGGTACCCCAAAATAAGGTACAAGAGGTCGCCCAGGCAAAAAAAAGTTCAAATTTTTTTAAACTATTTTTTTAAACAAATTGTAGCAATCAATTTTTTTGGCCTTGTCAAATTATTTTTTTTTGACCATTTTGAACAAAACAGGTCTTGAACCTTATTTTGGAGTATATCAGGAGATTTATTATGCAAAAAAATCTTATGGGAATATTTTTCGAACTAAAGGTCGATTCAGACACATCAGTCACGTCTCGTCACAGTCCTGGCACCGAACCGAACAATCCGTCATACAAAATATTCTTTAATAGAAATATGGCGCTGGCATTCACATTCATCAGTTGACGAACAGTTTGCCAGCTGTCAGATAGTTCTGTGACCAAACAGGACCGGTTCGGCGCCGAGACTGTAACGGGACTGATGTGTCTGAATCGACCTTAAACCGAGCTTTTCGCCTTGTCCATACAGGAACTTTTCAAAATATTTCAGATTACTTTGTAAACGCTTCATATAATACTGTACATCATATAAAAGAATAGACTTACCAATGCTAACTTCGGGTATCCAGAGCGCGCACGAGACGTGAGCCCACTTTTGACCAGTCCTTAAAGATTTCATAGCCCCTCCTCTATTTGGACACAACACACACTCCGGCTTCTTTCCGAGATTACAAGTACAACACAACCACTGCCCTTCTGGTATCCTTGTAATACCATAGCAGGCTTGATGAACGCAAATATTGCAACTATCACAAAAAACCATCTCGTTACCCTCTTCTGAATCAGGAGAACGGCACACGTCGCAGATGACGTTCTCATCGTATTCAATACCTGAAATGTCGAAATATTAATAATTCGAAGTAAAAACCCACCGGGCTACGAAATATACAGCAAACAACTCTATAAACTTACCCAACCCCTCTTCATTCTTGAGTATAGATTGAATTTTATCCCAGCAGCAAAGCTCCAACCTTTCGATTACCCTTTCCAGTTGTTGCTCGTAAATAGGACCCAAACCGGCGGAAGCTCGTTCAGCGTTTAGAATTTTGAGCCAGGCGACGTCACACTCATCCAGATCGTAAGAACAAGCGTCTTCCGATTTAGCGGGAGCATCTGATAATTTGTGTTCTTCTACATTAAAATGTTCGTCTTTTGTGATGCGCATGTATTTTGTTTTAGGCCTGGAACAATTAAATGTACTGTTAGAATGGTTGGTTTGAGAATTGTTCATAAACATGTGTGTATAATTTTATTGCCCTTTTAAAAATATTGTTATCCTTAATAACATTAAATATTAACAAAAAAATTAATAAGTCTTCTAAAGCTCTGGAGAGATTAGGAAATGCCGAAAGGTCTTAATCTCGATGAAGGAAAAATCCGAATCTGCACCTCCACGCGGTAGAAGACGGGCCACATCAATTTTGATGGCTAACGCAGATAGGGACCGAGTGATTGCCGGTATAAGCAGTCCCCCACTTACCGACCAACGGCTCCGGGCGGACGAGTTGGTAGGTGGTAGGGCACTCTTTTGTCCTGGGGCTGAGAAACCGGCCCCAAAGGCGGAAGAATCAATGGTTTGGTCAACGGCATAAGAATATAGAAGGCAACGAGAAACCACTATATTAAAGATCCCTATGGATATCTCTAGTACAATTATAATGGCTGTACAACTCAATAAAAATTCGCATACTGATCATGGACATCGGAGACCAAGATCCGGCAAGAGAGGTCATTCCCATGACCACAGGGCCTCTCAGGTCGTTAATATGCAAAATCCCTGTGAAATACCCAATAAAACACCTTTAAGAAAAGTCCACACGAATTGTCTGAAGAGGATATCCACTTGGAACGTTAGGACGATGGCTCAATCAGGAAAAATCCAATGCGCAATTAAAGAAATGGAACGCATGAAAATAGAAATAATGGGCATAAGTGAAATGAGGTGGCCTGACTCAAGTTATTGTGATATAGAAGACTACAGAGTATACTATTCAGGATCAGAAAATGGTAAATATGAGAATGGGGTTGGAATTATCACGCATAAAAGTATAGCCAAACAAGTCAACAACTTCATACCAGTGAACGATAGAATCCTCCTGTTACAAATAAATACGTCACCGGTGAACACAAACATCATACAAGTCTATGCACCCACAGCAGACCATAGTGATGAAGAAATATCAGAATTCTACAAACAAATAAGCAACCTTATAAGAGATATACCGAGACACGAACTCCTTATAATCATGGGAGATTTCAATGCAAAAATAGGTAACGGAAAAGAAGGGCAACATATTGGTCCACATGGATTAGGAGAGAGAAATCAACGCGGAGAAACAATGAGTATCTTTGCAGCTGAGCATGACTTAATCGTGCTAAACACATTTTACAAACTACCGCCTAGACGCCTGTATACGTGGAAATCACCTAGAGACAACGGAGAAGACGTTATTATTAGAAATCAAATAGACTATATGCTTGTTAACAAAAGATATCGAAATAGTTTCAACAGTGTTAAAACCTACCCAGGCGCTGATATTCAATCTGACCACAATCCTTTAGTGGGCGTGTATAGAACTAAGTTAAAGAAAATACGCGGAAAAACTGTAAAAAAACATGACATGAGAAAACTGAAATGTAGCGAAGTAAAAGAAATAGTCAGCAAAACATTAAATAGAAAATTTAAAGAAATCGATAATACAACGGAAAGCACAGAAGATAAGATAGAATCCCTTAAGAAAACAATAGACGACATTAAAGACAATTTTATGAAGAACGAAGAAGGTAAGAATAAGACATGGATGACGACAGAGATTCTGCAACTAATGGAAGAAAGAAGGAAAAACAAGAACGATAACTCCATGTATAAAACATTACAGCGAGAGATACAGAGAAAGATCAGAGAAGCCAAACAGAAAGAACTGGAGAAAAAATGCCAAGAAATCGAAATTCTCCAAAGTAAATACGACGACTTCAACGTGCATAAGAAGGTAAGAGAAATTACAGGTAAATGTAAAAACAGAAGAATAAGTAAACTTGTTAATGACAATGGAGAGATAATCGTGGACAAAGAGAGTATCAATGATACCTGGAAAAATTACATAAGAAATTTATTTTTTGATGAGAGAGAGAACCAGCCCCCAATACCTACGGAAACAGGACCACCTATACTAGTGGCAGAAATAAGAGCAGCCATAATATCACTAAAAGAAGGTAGAGCTCCAGGACCAGACGGAGTACAATCTGAATTTCTTAAACTTCTTGATGATGAATCTTTAAGAGTACTATGTAAAATCTTCAATAATATCTATGACACAGGCAATATCCCAAAAGATTGGCTACTTTCAGAATTTATTACCTTACCAAAGAAACAGGGAGCAAAAAAGTGCGGAGAATATAGGCTAATAAGTCTAATGAGCCATACATTAAAACTTTTTCTTAAAATTATACATCGTAGAATATACAAGCTATGCGAAGAGAGAATACAAGACACACAGTTTGGATTCATGAAAGGCGTAGGTACAAGAGATGCACTGTTTAGTCTACAAGTATTATTTCAAAGATGCAGAGATATGACTTGCGATATTTACACCTGCTTTGTGGACTACCAAAAAGCATTTGATACAGTTCAACACCAAAAAATGATGGATATTCTAACAAAAGCCCAAATGGATGATAAAGATCGGCGTATAATACAAAATTTATACTGGAACCAATCAGCCACAATAAGAACGAATTTTGGAGGTGAACCAACGGAAATGATCCAGATTCTACGAGGCGTTAGACAAGGTTGTATACTTTCACCTATATTATTTAATCTATATTCAGAGGAAATATTTAGTGAAGCCTTGGAAAAATGCGAACATGGAATACTTCTAAATGGAGAACGCCTAAACAACATCCGTTATGCAGACGACACCGTTATTTTTGCAGACAGTTTGAACAGTTTACAGCAACTAATAAACAAAGTAAATGAAGTAAGTGAAAGATTTGGACTTCAAGTAAATATAACAAAAACTAAATTTATGATCATCAGCAAAAATAAAGTTAGAGACGCTCAACTACTTATCAATAATACACCAGTGGACCGAGTAAAACAGTATAACTATCTTGGAACAACAGTAAATGAACAATGGGATCACTCACAGGAAATAAAATGTAGAATAGAGAAGGCTAGGAGTGCATTCAATAACATGGCCAAACTCTTTAAAAGCCACAATCTTAATCTGGAGATAAAAGTAAGGCTCCTACGATGTTATATCTTCTCAATATTGTATTACGGAGTTGAATCCTGGACACTAACTGAAGCAATGGAGAAAAAACTTGAAGCCTTCGAGATGTGGCTATACAGGCGAATTCTAAGGATATCATGGACAGACAAGATAACCAACGAGACCGTATTACGAAGAGTGGGCAAAGAAAGAGAGGTGATGTATACCATTAAAAGGAGAAAGTTGGAATATCTCGGACATATAATGAGAAACAGCACTAAATACAGATTACTGAAGGTAATCCTACAGGGTAAAGTATTCGGAAAGCGAGGAATTGGGAGAAGGAGAATATCATGGTTGAAGAACCTGAGGAAATGGTTCTCCACAACAACAACGAATCTATTTAAAGCATCAGTTAATAAAATAATTATAGCCAGAATGATTGCCAATATTCGGAACGAATAGGCACTGAAAGAAGAAGAATCTTTAATAAGTACACTTAACCTTTGTAAGTCCGAACGGAGTGCAGATATCAATTTTTGGCGATATTTTTTAAACATAATTTTTTTTCTTTAATTTCCTTTCAGGTATGTTTCTTAAATATATTTATAATTTAGCATAAGAAAGTTTTGATAGATTGCTATTTATTGCAACTAGTTTTACATAGTCATTGCAACATAGTCAGTCTTGTTCCCTGTGGTTCAGTCGCACCTCGCTTGGTAAGTAACCATAGGTATACTCGGTTCGCTATTCCCAGTCCGAACTGTCTAGTGAATTTAGTAATTATTTTTTTGACGAAGTTAGTTACTTTTTGACAGACTAAAAGTGGCTGGAAATTACTATACAACCAAGCACACGTACTCATAGCCAATATTAATAGTAAACAAACTAAATAGTAAATAAAATAGAACTTTGCGAATTACCGACAATCAATATTTATTTATCTGCACCATATAATAAATAGTTATGTTAAATTATAACAACTAAAATATATTTTTTAAATATATACTACCCAAAATTTGATGGGTTTAGTATACACTTCCACTATTTAGAATAATTCTTCTTTTTTCAAAGAAAGAAGTCTGCAATAGTAGTATACTTGAGCTATTAATACTGAGAAGTAGGAATTGTTGTGTTGTAGGTTTCCGACAATGAATCTGTCAAAATATGACCGAGCTAAGCGAATGGAGTATATATGTATATAACACTAACGTTTCTAAACCCAAAGAATGTAACTGATGTAGAACTAGAAACAGACGATTACGATAGTTAGTTTAATGATTTGGAACTAGAAGATAATTCAAGTGATATCGAAGAGACTGCTACATTGATATAAATATTAATGAGGTAGATGAAGTGTTACAAGTTAGTGATGGCGAGATCAGTAATCAATCAGTAAATTATACTGAAAATCAAACTTATACGTCTAGTCCAATAATTACTGAGGCTTAAAATATGGTAATACCTCCGATTTTTTTATAACTGCATCGATTTCTTTGAAAATTTCAAATTAAGCTTATCTTACCCTCCACTTCAAAAGTTATATACGCTCTAGGTGCGCTTTTTGTTTTTAAGGGGTGAAAACTACCCCTTATTGAAGAAACTGGGAAAAACACGGATTTAATTATTTTATGCACTTAAATCTTGTTTATTCGCATAAGGTAAATATTGTAATGTGTTCTCTAATATGAAAATTAATTATTCACAATTTTCAACCCTTAAAAGCTAATACATTTTATAAAAATAATTTTATCTATTTTTCATGACATTTCAATTATGTATTTAAATACAAATAAAAATTAATACCCTAGCTATACAATAATATTTTATTTATTGGAAATTTTCAACCCTTACAACCACCCTTATGACAAAAATGAATTAAAAAATATTTTTATCGGTTTGAAACATTTCTTGAGTGCATTTTATTTAACGAAAATTAATTTTTTGCATATAAAATAACTTTTTATTAT